TATCGAATTTTAAAGAAACAATTTTATGAATTCAAAAATTTGCTATTACCAACAGTATTTTTTTGCGCAAATTTTTTTTTTTTTTTTTAATTTTTTTTTTTTTTTTTTTTTTTTTTTTTTTTTTGTATTTGTATATTAGAATCAGTTTTATTCCTATATTTTTCATTTTTTTATTTTGATTCATTTATTTAGCCGATTTTCTGCTCCAACTTTATTTCGCTTTTTCAGAAAATATTTCCACTTATTGTCAAACTTTTCGCTCAGTGTATGACTGGATACACCATATTTTCCTTCTACACGCACAGCAATTTACAACTGATTTAAAATTTTTTTCACGGATTTGCTGCAGTTTATTTTTGCCACCCAATATTCTGGTTTGCGTTTGAGCCTGCACAGAAAAACCGTTAGCTTGCAAGCATAGACAAGTCGTCAAGCAAGCTGCCTGCACAACGCCGAGGGAGAAGGAGGGGAGCGCGCACTAAACGGGCAATCAGCATGACACATTTGGCCAACACGCGCCCAACAATTAATGCGGCATTGGCAGCAACAACAACAAACACAAGTTTGTCGCATACATGGGCGTTTGTGTTGCGGCGTTGAACGTGCAACATTTTTGGCAAAATAATTTGAATTTTTTTTCGCTGTTATTTTTCGCATTTTCGATGACACTGGCTTTGGCGCAGACGCGCGCTGTCACATTGACATTTAAGTGTGTATTTGTGTGTGACATCATAAATTAACGCCGTGTGGCAACTCGGCAACTCGTTTTTAAAAGCGGTTTGGCATTAAGCAACAACAAACATGTAGTTGGTTAACAAGACTGTACATCATTTTACCGTAATTTGTTTAGTGTGTCTGCGCGGCAGTCGTTTGTGGCGACACACACACTCAYACAAACATGCTTAACCGCTTATAATTGCATTAAACAGCTGATTTTGACAGTTCACACCTCAATGGCGAGGCTAATCGCAAGTTATAGATCCGAAATTGGCCGATTGCTCCAACCAGCTCGCCGCTGCAGCAACAACTTTTTTACTTGTCGTCGTTGTCATATTTCATTTGTGGTATTTGTTGTACTACAACCGCTGCCGGTAAGCAATAAATATGTTGCACACGCTGACCGCTAATTGCTCGCATGCGCATGCGCGTTTGCTCATAATATAAATTATCATTTAATGTGACAGCCCATATATATTGCGCACACACACACACATCCCTAGTTTGCCTTTAAATATGGCTTCCTTGTTGCTGTCAATGTTCGCTGTCAACTTAGTATGCAATTTTTCAGCATTTAGTGCCACTGTGCCCCATTAATTAGTTGACAGCGAGTTGCGTTTCTTATGGCTAATTGATTTTTCGCCACAATCCTTTTCACTTGCACTAATTGCTTGTAATTTTTTGGCTGCATTTGACGGCATTTTTTCCGAATTTGGCATAACTGCTCAATGAAGTGTCACAATTTTGCTTGTCAAATCTGCTCGCATGTGACTTTGCGGCTAATATTATTTGACGTAAGCAACGCAGTGTTGCAAGCAACATGTACAGCAATGTGGACAAGACAAAATGTTGAAAAATGGGTGTGTTTTGTTGAAAGGAGTATGGCAACAAAGATTATTGATATTGCAACCAGATTATGTAATTTGAGCCAAAAAAAGGTATAAAATTTAGTTTTTCTTCATAAAAAAAAAAAAAAATCTTACAATTTTTGGAATTTTTATATCGGTAGCCATTTTATTCAAATTTGTTAGAAAAAATTAATAACAGCTTTCAGAAATGATGTTTTTCGCTAACAAAATATATTCATTACAACTAAGCCCGGTTTAATCAAATACCATAAATATATTATGTAGAAAATTTAATATTAAAAACCCATATTTATTTTCAAGGTGGCAACCCTATTTTAGGTTAAAAATCAAAATTTAATATAATTTGTAGCACATTAAAAATATTTGATGCAAGTTTTCTGAAAATATTTTATTATTCGGCAATCTGACAACACTACTATTAAGTTTTTTCAGTTTCTCTTTCATTCATTTTCAAAATATAATATATTTAATGTACACAAATATGAGTATATATTAAACTTATTATAACTCTTTTTCAGTTGGCCACATATTTGATTATATTTATTTATTATTGTTGGTTTTCAGAAATTTAAATTTTTTTTAGTATTTTAAACAAGCCTATCAGAAACGTCTAAATGTTTATTGTAATGCTTTACCAAAATCTTGTTTAAAAGTATTTTATTTTTCGTTAATCTGGCAACACTATGATTTAGTTACTCTCATTTCTAAAATTTAAGGTTCAATAAGCGATATTTTTGATTTAAAATGTTTATTTAAATGCAAAACCAAAAAATTTTTTTAAAAGTATTTTTTGTTAATCTGGCAACACTATTATTTAATAACTTCCGTTGCTAAAATTTTAAATTCATTATGCGAATTGTTTTTTGTATTAAAAAGTTTATTAAAATGCATTACCAATAATTTTTTTAAGCTATATTTTCCTGCTTCCTTTCAATAACTCCCACTTGTTGGGATTCAATTTTGTCATTCTCAAATTTCTGTGTCTTAAAATTTTTACTAAAACACCTTATCAGGAATACGCATTAATTCAAACAAACATTTTATGTACATCTCATTTTTCGAAAATCTGGCAACCCAATTTTACAATTTCCCCCATTTCTGTTATTGAGGCATATAAATTACATCTTGCATTTTATAAAATTTTTCTAAAAATATATTTTTTTTTTCAAATCTGGCATCACCAATTTCCATTTCTTATTGTGGAGAGTCTGAAGTTTCAGTCCTTAAATTTAGCATATTTATATTAATCTTTCAAATTGAGTTYATTTAAACTTTCTTGGCAAGCTGGCAAACTCGTTGTGTTTGTAAATGAAACTAGCGGTTAAAATACCGCAATAATGGCTTCTACGATAAATTAATAAATACCCGAACTTCACCTTGATATTAGTTCTATGTATTTACTCAATTTTAATTTATAGTCATTTATTTCTTATATTTTTTACTAACTTTTATTTTTCTCTTTTTTTTCATTTCAGGTACGAGTATGTATTCATGTCTTCTAGAGAAAACATTAATCTATAAATTTGTAACGATAAGTACTTAAAGGTTTTAAAAATCTTTTGATTATCTTAAACTTAAGCCACCAGTTTGAATAATCGGTCAAAAAAGTTTATAGAACAATGTACCTTTTCTTAGTTCTGTTTGAATATACTTCTCAGTTCGGGGAATGTAGAAAAATATTTTAGAAATGGCTAATGTTGGTAGGTAGGTCCTGCATACATTTTTCATGTATAAAATGTTTGAACAGTTACATTTCTGCAATGAACAGTTGGATTCTCTCTTAAAGGTTCTTCTATACAGTTTGTTCGATATCTGGTTATTTCTATCCCATTCTTTTAGTTATATTTTTATCCTCTCTCTTTCCATCTTTCACTTTCTATCCCTTACTCAATCACTCTTCTACTTTTTCTTGTAGCTTATATCTATCTCGTTCTTCCCTTTCTCTATCTTCATTACTTTTTTGACATATATACCTCTCTCTTCCTACTTTACCTATTGAAATAGAAATACCTCAAGTTAGGAACTGTCAATAGATATGATAGTAAAAGTAGGAGATTGAATCCAAGAGGTTTGAGGCTACTCGAGCGACTCCTCTCACCATTTCGTAGTCACAATTGTAATCCGTATTTAACTCTCAAATACCTTTCGATATTCGAAATCATACGGAAATATGGTTCTCAGTGGGATGTTTCAAGTATAAGGAGCAGACTAGGGCCAAAAATGTGGTAACTTGTAAAATAAGCGCCGCGCATGGCATCTTAAGAATACATTGAAGCGATAAATGACAGTTCAGGATTAAGTAATCGATAATCTCGATTAGAATAAATAGTTGACTTTTCGCTAACTCCCGGTTAGAGTCCAGTGCTCCTTTTTTCTTTTTTGTTCAAATAAAGCGCGAATTTTCGCTTCATATACGAAACCTTGAAAACAAAGAAATATTATTTTTTTTCAAATTTTCTTCCTAATCAGGGATTTTCTTATCATTTTCTACATGCATCTGGAAATTGTTCTCATAAATCAACTAACATTTTATTGGACCCGTATATTTTGCTTGTTCCACCATTATGCTCCTTCCACAAATTGCTGCCAGTTTTAACATTAGCAACGTTCCTTAAAGCCACTTCTAATAGTAAAATTGCAATTATTACTTGCCACCTCATGTCGCAAGTTTGCTGCTTATGTTCCCCTCTTCAATACAACGCTTGCATACATGCCAATGTGCATAATTCTGAGTCACAAATGCATTTTATAATCCAATTTCCTTTAGCAGAAACTTATTTCCACATTCTCGTTTCTAAGCGTTTGCCTCGACCTTTAACCGTCACATGTCAACTGTCAGACATAAATAATTGCGACTGTAAACAGCAGCATAAAGACAAACACTTGCTTGCTACATAAGCGCGCAGCAACTGCAATAATTTGCCAGCATTTAAATGTGTGTATGTTTGCTCATTACAATTTGCGACTTATGCATCGCTATTAGTTTTGCAACACCCCACTGACACTATACATATACCCATTATAGACCCAGAACATATAACCGCTCAGTTTGTTATGAAGTTTGTAATATACGGAAGGAAACGTCGGAGATTCTATAAAGTATTCGACATATTTCTGTATATACTTGAACTAATCCCTTTGTTTTTGAGATACCGATCATAAATTTTTCACGCACCTTTCTCAATCCAAGTAGCCGCTCATTTGTTGAACCCCCATCAAAATCAAGTCCTTGTATGGAGAACTCTTTTGTTTGCCCATATATCTTTATGAATTTTAGTAAAAATTATTTTCAAAAGTAGCGCTACAATCTCCGAACATATTATTCAGATCGGTCCACTATAGCATATAGCTACCATACAAACTGATGGATCAAAATCAGATCTTTGTTTAGAAAACTTTTTTATTTGACTATATATCTTCATGAATATTGGTATAGATTATTTTCTAAACCTATTCTATAATCTCCAAAAAAATCATTTAGAGCGGTCTACTATAGCATATAGCTGCCATACAAACTGATCGTTCCAAATAAAGTCCTTGTATGGAAAACTTTTTTATTTGGCAAGGTAACTTCATGAAATGTGGCACAGCTTATTACCTCAGGCAATGCTACATTTTACGAAGAAATTGTGCAGATCGGTTCACTATAGCATATAGATGCCATACCGATCAAAATCAAGTCCTTGTATGGAAAAATATTTTATTTCACGAGGCAAAAAAAAGTTTCAGATCGGTTCACTATAGCATATAGCTGCCACACAAACTTCACAATCTTGTAGTGAAAAAAAAAAATTTTTTTTTATACGTGAAGGGTATTAAAGCTGCGTTGCAACCACAATTAACATATGTGTGTGTGTCACTCACTTTAGGAAATGCTTATTGTGCTCCGCGCTTGTTGCACATTCACATATTTCGCGTCTTTGTGCCACACAATAGTTGTCATTGTTCACATAAATGCATGTGGCAAGCAGCATTGTTGTTTTTGCTGTTGCTTTGTGTCGTCGCGGCGTTTGGCCATGTCAAATCTGACATCAACGGAGGTTAATGGCTGAGTGCCATGCAAATGAATGTGCTGCCGCAAGTGGCTGTGTGTTGTACTCGTCTTATACTCGTATGTGGCAAGCGCCCCAACACTTGCTGCTTGTCCAACAACAAGTGCATGCAACAACAATTAGTGCAATCGAAAAGCGTTCAACTGCAAGTAACTAAGCGCGCTGCTGCTTGTCGCCAAACTCAGCGCTTGCTGTGGGTGAGTGCAACTAATGGGAATGGTGGCAACTTCGTTACGCCTTTCCCTACTTGACATACACGCTGGCGAAGGGAGTATGGTGTTTTGGTTTTTTTTCATATTTCCTTCGACTTGGTTGCGCTTCACTTGCAATAATTGCTGCCGTTTGCACTTTGCCAAGACAAATTCATATGTGCATAGACATATGTACATATATGTATATATTCATATAGTACCGTTATGTGTGTTATTTTCAATGAATTTGCACTGCTAGCGATTTTGATAGGCATAACTGTGGCTTTGTGATAACCGTTACAAAAATTTGGCTAAATTTGCATTTGATTTTATTAGGAAGTCTTTGGACTTAAGTATTTAGGTGCGGTTACGGGTTGTGTAATTTGGCCGTTAGCTGCGATTGGCTTTCATTTTTACAAAAATTGCTAGTATGTGACAATTTAGTTGCAATTTTTCGGAATTTTGGCAATTTAATTAGAAAGCAGCAACTTTTCCCACAAGTTATTAACTTCCTTGTCTAAATATTCGTCGTCTAAGTCGGATTTATGCAACTCAAAACTGAAATTAGGTTACACCAATGCGGGTCAAGTTCACAATAGGTGTTCCGTTGTTTTCCTGGTGCCTGGCATTTGATATTTTCTGTAGTCTTCTCGGTCTGTAACCAGTGAGTATCCGAATGATGTTCCTTCAGTTCCTTTGATCAAGTGCCAGTGGCAGCTTTGTATATTTTCGATCTATCGTCTTACATATGACTTTTGTGGTATTGGACCCAGGGATCGTTGCAACACGGTTTGATATAACTTCCACTAACTTCAAACTTAACTTCTGACCATATCGACGTAAAGACAATGCACGTGCTTTTCGATGTTGATCACTTTTCCGGCTTACGACTGTCACTCTTGGTATATCACCACTGTTGGTTATATCGTTTAGTATCTCATTGCTCTCGATGCCTTGGAGACCTGGCACCCAGTAGAAGATAAGTCGCTTGCTTTTCTCAACACTCCCCACTGCTCTGCTTTCCTAGATACCTTAGGCCGATATCCGAACGAGGTTAAAGCCTTGATTGCTACTTGGCTGTCCATGTAAATGTTGACTCTGGAGTTGTCTGCTGATGCATTAGAGACTCACTCCGGGGCTTTACCAATAGCAAAGATATTGGCTTGATATATACCTCAGTGATCTAGCAGTTAAAAGGCTGCATTATTCCTAACTCTTGATAGGATAACCCCGCACCAATTCCGTTCGATATTTTGTGGCAGAAATCGTAAAATTCCGCTCGACAGACCATGGAAAAAGTTCAGTGAGATAGCGGAGACCACGCATATCGTATCTTTATGATATATGTGGTGAGAATGGGCTATCGGCGTGGTGAGATCCGCGTTTGCTTACTCCGGGCACTAAATGCAACTAATGGAAATGAATGGATAAGACCAATTTGCATCAGCTTTATACGATAAGCGTAGTATTAAAGAACTTTCTGCACCGTCCACGAAACATGAATCAACATGTATCTTCTTCTTCTTGATTGGCGTAGTCACCGCTTACGCGATTATAGCCGAGTTAACAACAGCGCGCCAGTCGTTTCTTCTTTTCGCTACGTGGC